ATGGCCTCCAGTGGGAGCAGCTCCTCGTTGGGCGGGCTCAGCAGGTTAGGCCCGACGCAGATGGCCAGGTTGCTGCAGCTCATCCTGTTGCTGGCGGCGTTGTGGCCGATGTGCTGCAGGAGGCACAGCAGCCGCTTCAGGAGGAGCAGATTGGCCGCAGGCAACTTCTCGGCCACCCTGAGGGAACGGGCACACAAGGGAAATAAAGCAGATGTTGCCCACAGCCGTCCCCAGCCTTGCCCAAGGCGGCTGGGAGCCAGCGGCTGCGTGGCGCAGCCTTCCAGGGGCTCCCAGCCAGCGGCCGGGGCTCCTGCTCAACAGGCAGGCAGGCTTCTGCCCACGCTTACGCTTTCAGCGCTTCCGCCTTCTCCTCCTTGCTGGCCTTCTGCATGGCTGCCATCCAGTCCTCGTAGAGGTCGTTCACGAGGAGCTTGCTGGGGATGCTTCGCAAGAAGTTCTGCAACGCCAAGGGCTCCAGCTGAGCCTTGCAACAGCCCAGGCCAGCCAAGGGCCGCAGCCCTCCCCTTCAAGACGCCGGCCAGCAGCAGCGCAGGCTGGCTTCCCATGTCGACGTCCGCGCCGTGGTCCAGGGCCTCCCGCAGCTCCCGAAGCGCTGTCCCGCTGGCAGCTTGGTGGAATATCCCCTCCGTCGACGGCCCTTCCCGCTGCAGGACAGCCAGCAGCTCCTGCACCAGAGGCGGGAGGACGGTTGCTTGGCTGAGAGCTGCCTTCCAACAGCGCTGGCCAGAGCACTGCCCCAGCACCCCCTGGCTCCGTGCTGGGGTGAAGAGCCCAATCCCCTGTCCCCGGAGACACGAACCGCCTCTCTGGAGCACCTGGGGGAGGGCTGGGGACCCCTTGCCCAGGCTGGCTCACCTGGATGGGCTGGGGCAGCGTGCCGTCCTCCCCGCAGAGGGCTGTCAGGGGCTGCCCAAAGAGCGCCCTGCTGCAGCCGGAGCCCGCCTGCCCTGGCGCCTGGGCAACGGCCCGGCTCCGCCGCACAGCAAAGGGCCAGGGCAGCCCCCTCCTCCTCCTCCTCCTGCTGCTGCTGCTCCCTTCTCCTGCAAAGGAAACCAGAGCAAGAGCCGTCAGGGGACACCACCAGGCCAGTGCTCCCAGAGCCTGCCCTGCCCTGCCCTGCCCTGCCCTGCCCTGCCTGCAGCGCGGTGATGAGCGGTGCGGCAGGGGTGGCGGGGGGGA